AAGGAGATCCAGAGGACTTCCAAAGGAGATCCAGAGGTCTTCGAAGGGAGATCCAGAGGACATCCAAGGGAGATCCAGAGGACTTCCAAGAGAGATTCAGAAAACTTCCAGCGCAGGTCTAGAGGACTTTCAGGGTAGCTCTTCATCGAACTTCGGGACTAGTACAAGTTCAAAGCACATTTAAGGCAAGTTTAGTAGGTCCCAGGATCAGTCCAGTGACTAAACATTCTGGCAGTCACAAATCAAACTCCAATGCTAATTAGATAAAACGCAAAATATAAATCGTTAGACTTATGAGAGAGACTTCCAAGGGAGATAAAGAGGACTTCCAAAGGAGATCCAGAGGACTTCCAAGGGAGATCCAGAGAACTTCCAAGGGAGATCCAGAAGCAGGTTTCGAAGGCAGGTCTAGAGGATCAGGGCAGCTCTTCATTGAACCTCGGGACCTGTACAAGTTCAAAGCACTTTCAAGGCAAGCTTAGTAGGTTCCAGGGTCAGTCCAATGACTAAACATTCTGGCAGTCACAGTCACAACAAACTTTTAGAGCAAGCCCTTGGGGCTACCAAGTAAATTTCAAATGATGAACTCCAAGGCCAATTAGATAAAACGCAAAATATAAATCGTTAGACTTATGAGAGTGGCTCAGAGCACTTGTATATGATGCATAGAGGTTTTCTGGGGAAGATCCAGAGGACTTCGGGGGTAGATCCAGAGGTCTTCCGGAGAAGATCCAGAGGACTTCGGGGGACGATCCAGAGGACTTCCGGGGAAGATCGGAGGGACTTCCAGTAAAGATCGGAAGGACTTCCATGGAAGATCCAGAGGACTTTCAGGGCAATTCTACTAAACTTCCAGGATAGATCTTCAAAGAACTTTCTAACCATGCAGTCCAAAGTTCAAAGCACTTTCAAGGCAAGTTTAGTAGGCTTCCAGTGTCAGTTCAATTATTTAACATTACTGGCATGTCCGTAGAACTTCAAGGGCAGACACTAAGACAATCTTCAAGAGCAAGTCCCGCAAAGTTTCTGATGATGAACTCCAAGGTCAATTAGATAAAACGTAACAAAAACCCGCTAGAATTACGAGAGTGGTTCAGAGCACTTATATAGAATGCACAGACGACTTCCAGGGAAGATCGAGAGCACTTCCAGGGGCGATCAAAAAGACTTTCAGGAAGATCCAAAGGACTTCCAGGGAAGATACAGAGGACTTCCGGTGAAGATCCATACAACGTCCACTGCAAGTATTGAAGTCTTTCAGGATGATAGGCACGTCCAAAGGACTTCAAAGGTAGATTTAAAGAACAGTATCAGTTAAAAAAATATCAAGGGCATATCCTCAGGATTTCTAAAAAAAGTTTAGTTGATGAACCCCAATTTATCCCCCATATTAACCTTATATTGCAAAAACTCTGATTAGTGGGCAATAAGCAGGCTTGGTGATTAGTTTGGAGTTTAAAATATGTTTAGAGCATGTTCAAGAGATTTCTAGATGGATGTCTACAATATTTCTAGATCAAATCCAAATGTCTTCAGTGTATGGGCAGAAGATTTCAAGGATGATGCCCAATAACTTCAGGGTTAGGCAAAACATCGAGTAAGGGAGAGTTGACTTTAGTTTTATTAAACGAGTACTCCACCGAGTTTTTTTTTTTTTTCGAGTGTTAGTGTCCTAATTGCACCATGTCAACCGCTGAGCGAGCCATGTTGTGGTTCCTGATCTGACTTCCACACAGATCCAGGAAAATTGTGGGAAATTTTAAAAAGTTTCGTGAAAATCAGGGAAGTTCACGGAATTTCGGATAGCCCAGAGAATTTAAGACAAGTTCAAAGAATTTAAGGGAAATTAAGACAGTCTTGAATATTCTATAGAAATTTACATCTTTTCAGAAGTTATGTGAAGTTCGTGAAATTTCCAAGAATTTCAGCAAAATTACGAGAATTGTAAGCCCGATCTATGATCTGGAAGATTTTAGGAACTCTAGAGAAGAGCTACTATAGAAGAGCTACTATAGAAGAGCTACTATAGAAGAGCTACTATATGTGTTCAACCAGTATCAGTCTTCCGGCCCAAATCCACAGAACTCCAAAGAATACAAGGCAAACCAAGGATCGCTTCTAAGGAACATCAAGGAGAGCACGCGTCCATAGAAGGGCCGTGGGAACCTGAAGGAGCAACGAGTCGTCTCCAGGCTTCGTACAGGTCACACCCAGCTCTCACACGATTTCGGTGGAGGATTTTTCTGCAAGCCCTACGTCGTCTGTTATATTCCAGCCACCGTCGAGCACATCCTCTACGTGTGTCCAAAGTACGAGCTCGTGCGGCAACACAACGGCCTTTCGGGGAATATCAGCGTCATACTGGGCGACGAACCTTCGATCCTGGCTACCCTGATCTTTTTCCTGAAGGACGCTGGATTGTTTTTCAATGTTTGATTCCTTCCTTTCGGCAGTCGGGGCATCTCTACCGGACGGAGGAACCACCTTCCACGGTGGAGCTCTGCCTTGTTCGGATTAGTCAATAAGTTAACTCAATGTCAATGGTCTAGTTTGTTCCTCTGTGTTTCCCAAATTTTAAATGTCGTCCAACCAAAACTCTGTAAATTCGAACTGTGTTTTTTCCCAAGGCAGGCCTTATATCTCTGATATTTTTCCTGCAAAGTGAAGGACTAGCCAAAAAAACAAGGAAATCATCAGATGGACTCAAGTACACGTCCAGGACCTTCACGTCAAGTCTAGAACACCTAAATGAACAGCTTAAGGGAAGGTCACTTCAATTTGATCAAATCAAACAAAAACCCTCTCTAATTCTGTTATCAACCGAACAGTGATTCAGCTTGTCCCGGTATTCCTGGACAATTTCAGAAAACCCACTTTCCACTTGAACAACAAACAAACTTTCCCACCAACATGACTCATATCAACCGGTAGATCGACAAATGTATGTAACATCAAAAAGCCATTCACTAATTGCCCCAGACAAATGATAACGACCATCACTCGACTCATCTTGTATAAAAACTCCTCTGACAGTTCGAACCGACATCACTTGCACAAACAGTTCGCTAGCAGTAGTAACAATGAAGCTCTCAACACTTTTGATAACAACATTGGCCGTGACCATGGCCACCGCCTATCCTCATCAGCGACCAACCCGGGAAGAATTCCGCCTACAGCGTTTGGACCACTTCCTATCGATGCTTCCGGAAGACCTCCGCCTGGAAATTGAAGAATCCGTCCGGACCGCCGTAGCCAATGGGGAGCGTCCGCAGATTCCAGACCAAGTTCGCGATCAGATCCGAGAGCACATGGCCGATTTGAAGCAGCAACACCAAGAAAAATTGAACCGGTTCATGTCGATGTTGCCGGAAAACCTACAGCAAGAGGTGGAAGCACTCCTGGAGAATTCGGCTGCCAACGGAGAGTTTCCAAAGGCTTCCGAGGAGCTGAGGAACAAAATTCGGGAGCACTTTGCTGCTGTGAAAGATGACCGGAGACAACGGTTGAATAGGTTCTTGGGTTTGTTGTCGGAAGAATTGCGAGTGGAAGTGGAGGAGTTGCTGAGGAAGCCTCTGGTCAACGGAGAACGTCCACACGCATCGGAAGAGCTAAGGGAGAAGATTCGTCAGCATTTCCAGGGCTTGAAGGGAGTTCACATGGAGCGCTTGGATCGCTTCATGGCAATGCTACCGGAAGATCTTCGCCTGGAAGTCGGTGTGGTTCTGCAGCAGGCTTTGGTCAACGGTGAACGTCCACGTGCCCCGGAGGAACTCCGCGAGAAGATTCGGGAGCACTTTGATCAGCTTAAGGAAGCACATCGGGATCAGCTGGAGCTTTTCTTGAACTACCTGCCGACGGAACTTCGTGAACAGGTCAAGAGCGAACTTCGACAGGTTGGCGCAATTCATGGCCAGCGGCCTAGATTTTCCGACGAACTTCGCAACAAGCTTCGTGAGTATTTTGACAGGCTGCTGCCGGTTGAACTGAAGCAACAGATCCTGGAGCAAGTTCATCAGGCCCAGGAAGCAGGTGTGTTTCCGACTTTCAGCGATGATTTACGTCAACAGCTGCACCAATTCTGGGAACTGATAATGACTCCGCAGTTGCATTGAAGACTTTGTCTGGTTTTAGAAGTGTAGAATGATAAAGATAGCATGTCAATCATAGGTTTTTTGGTTTCACTTTCTCCTAAATAAGCCCTGCGAACCAAGCGCTTTAGTTTCAGTCCTAGGTGTGCCCACCGACTTGTTGATTTATGTAATTGATACAAATCTACACGCAGCTACTCCCGCATCGTGTCCGGCGCAGTGTTGAACTGTTCCCACACTATTCAAATGCGATCTGATTCCGAAACCTCTGGCCCTCCGCGCTGCCATATACGGACCCGAAATCCGCCGTGCCTTGATCAAAATCTGTCCGATGACTAATTATGGTAATGTGTTCATTAGTCAATCTCACTGGCGGTTAGTCTGTTTTTGGGATAGACCTTCCACCCACCTGCTTTCTGGAGCTATCTGTGATGCTGTGGTTAAAATTTCAAATATCGTAATTGCAAGCCGTTTGTTGAAATGGATATCCATAGGCGGTGCCAGAATGCTGTGCACTGAAGCTTTGTGCCCTCGAGCATTTTGTTCTTTATTATATGAAGAGCCACTAAATTGCGAACTAATCGGAAAGGACCTTGAAAGGTTATTAGTATCATTGAAAATGATCCCCAGCTACAGTCCCTCTAAATGATTGCCATTTCTCTAATTGACTGCCGTTTAGTTAATGAAGAACACATGTATGTTGTGTGAACAAACGTGACTCTTCGCTTAATTTTAATAAACGCGAGAACAGCAGTGTGAAGACGAGAATCGTCATAGTGAACTGAACTAGTGTGATGAGCTAGCTACTTGTTAGTAACGACAGGAGGAAATCAAGCATCGCGGCTGGCATTATCGCCCAACATTCAACAGCGTGACACTAGTAGACAACCTTCGATTTTTGTTTCATTGCAGAGTGCTGTGGCGTTGCTAAAATGGAGGCAGAAAGAATTGCCGGATAGCAGAGCTCCGTCGAACCGAAGCAGAAGAAGAATGGATGTACCGGTAAGTTTTTGGCACAATGATCATTTAGCATAAGTAAGCCCTCGCCTTCAAGTCCTTCGTTCTGAGCAGTGCCACCCGCCGTGTAGATCAAATCGGAGATTTCCTTTGCTCCAGCACAAAGTATTGTAAGAGATCTTATCGCAAAACAACAAATCAGACCGACACGATGAACTGATATAGGAACTTATGTATTGTTGTTGTTGTGGTTGTTGTTCAAGTACCCTGGTGGGGCCGGCCACACACGGCTTGCACTCGATCGCATTTAAATCGTCGCCGTTGACGGCGACGGCGACGACGACGATGCAAGTTTAAAGTGTTTAATAAAACGATCAACTTGACCATCCCATCGTTACCGTAGCAACACGTGTGGTCGCACTTTCATCCCTCTGCGGATGGGAGACGAGAATCCAGTTTTTAGTTGCCGAAAAGGTCATGTGATGGGACGGCTCTTGAAAGTGGAATGAGTGTGCACAATATACTGATGCAAAATTTGAAATTTCAAATTGGGTCCTGATTAGCTTCCTAACATTTGAACTCATTTATTAAGAAACTGACTTGGCACAAACCTTATGAAGTTTATTTGGAAATTACTATGGGAAAATCAAATATCTCAAAATTCACCATTTCACTCTGCTTCTAAAAATAATAGCTCTGCATGTAGGAAATTTGCTCAGCTACAAATTTGCTCAAGACTACTCTTCGATCGAATTTTAGGAACCAAAGTTATTAATGATTCAAGTCACTGATGTCTTATGATTATACTCAATCAACTGTTCAGCAGGCAATATTGCTGTTTCTGGCACGTAAAATTGACCACAAAAACCATGGCTACTATGTCACAGTGCAGAATACAGTGTTGCCCATAAAACAGCTGCTTGATCATGTCATAAGATTATCAATCTCTAAAACAATTAATAACTATTTAATTTTACGTTTACAGAGAAATAGTATTCTTCAAAAGTGTAACTGAGAAAATTTCACATAAGAATAGTTATACAACTTTCAAACAGTGCATTATGGTAAATGGTTGAAAGTCTATGAACAAAAAGTTTGGTTTTCCCATAGTAATTTCAATACAAACTTCAAACGGTTTGTGCCACGTCAGTTTCTTACCAAATGAGTTTAAATTTTGTGATTTGGAACCGTTTGAGCACTTCAGATCGAAAATTTCATAATTTTCACGGTCGCAATAGTGCCAACCGTGGTTCCTACAAAAGGATTATGTACATCGGAGGGAGAGTTGCCAAGAGGGAAATTGAATTTCAGCATGGGGTCAGACATCGATTTCCAGTCCCTACACGTCATCCAGATTTCAACACTACCCAGTATTTGACAGTATGTCCCTAGTTGAGGATGCTAATTTCAAATAACAGACTAAAGTGGTAATTTTTATACGATAGATGAGGAGATGAAAGTATAGAATTGATAGTTCCGTTAGAGTACGGTAGTGTGAAAATTGCATATAGAGAGTAGAAAGCGAGCAAGGACAACTTTAGGAAGGTACAAATCGGATTGATCATCTCTCTTTACCAAACTCCCCCGTTGGGGAAGGATGGTGAGGGGTATTCTCCCCGCCACCACTGGCAAAAAGAGATGATCACCGACACGCTCAAGTACCGACGATGTGTTTGAAACAGTTCTATCCATTTTTACCGCACTTAAGTTGTTATCTGAAGGAAGGCATCCAGTCGTAGGTTTGGAAATTGCAGCTATTGTTAACTCTACCACGGTATGTGCTCCTGTCATCGTCTGGATGGGAGCATACCATCAATTACTGCCATTGGTCGAAAGGTACAGTAGCAGCATCTACCCTACCCGTGTCCCTCGAGATCGTCAAGTCGACGATGACAGGAGCACATACCGTGGTAGAGGTAACAATAGCTGCAATTTCCAAACTTACGACTGGATTCCTCCCTTCAGATAACAACTTAAGTGCGGTAAACATCGATAGAACTGTTTCAAACACATCGTCGGTACTTGAGTAGCACAGTTATAAATACTGTTCTGGAATTATCGAAAAACTTCCCTACGGTATATTTCAAGCTAACAGTATTTTAAAACAGGTTCATTAATTTCAGTACAATTCGTATTCAATCTGATAATTCCAAACATTTGTGCATATTCCTGAAATTTCATAAAGAGATTTGATGTTCCTCTGAAAATCCCGGATCTCTCAAATATATTTGCTGTCAGCGAACCTTTTAAGAACTTTTCGAATCTGATTAAAAAACGGGGCTGTGTCATTTCGCCGAAGGACGTTTCGCCGAAGGACATTTCACCGAATGGGTCATTTCTCCGAATTTTAATCAAGAATCAAATTGAAAGAACTGGTCATGTTTTAAAGGAGGAATCATTTCTAGAAATCAAAAATATTGATTATTTAGAAAATAACTAAATCAATAAAACTCGAAAGAAAAGAAGGAAACATTTCTAAAAATGTAATACAAAAATTTTCTGAAATCAGTATAACTCAAAGGAACTGCTCATATTAAAAAAAGGAAGTATTGCATTGGAATAGCTTGCCAGGTTGAAAAAATCAAACCTTCTTAAACTTTTTTCGAGACTGATTTCAAAATTTACTGTGCTTTGAGAAAAGTTCAAAACAGTAGAAACGTCCTTCGGCGAAACATCTTTCGGCGAAACGTCCTGCGGCGAAACGTCCTTCGGCGAAACGTCCTTCAGCGAAACGTCCTTCGGCGAAACGTCCTTTGGTGAAACGTCCTTTGGCGAAACTTCCTTCGGTGAAACTTCCTTCGGCGTAACGTCCTTCGGCGAAACGTCCTTCGGCGAAACATCCTTCGGCGAAACGTCCTTTGGCGAAACGTTCTTCGGATTCCTATGGCAAAACGTCCTTCGGCGAAACGTCCTTCGGCGAAACGTCCTTCAGCGAAACGTCCTTCGGCGAAACGTCCTTTGGTGAAACGTCCTTTGGCGAAACTTCCTTCGGTGAAACTTCCTTCGGCGTAACGTCCTTCAACGAAACGTCCTTCGGCGAAACGTCCCGCTCCCGTTTGATGTTCCTCTGAAAATCCCGGATCTGTCAAATAAATTTGCTGTCCCCAAAACTTCTAAGAACTTTCCGAAACTGATTTTAAAAACAAAGTTACCGATTTCGGAGGAGTTCTGAAAAGTTCAGAAAAGTTCATGAGAATTAAAAAAAAAATTCGATCGTTCAGAAGATCTAAATACTTTGGAAATGTTATGGCAACTTCCTAGATGTTCTGGAAGCTTGTGGAAATATCTGGATGCTTCAGAGAATGAATGGTAACTTAGAAGAATTTAAAAACTTTAGAAAACTTTGGAGATCTATCCGAATCAATGGTCAAAAGTCTTGGGAATGAAGATAACTAACCAACTTTTGAGAAAATCTGGGAACATGGGGATTTCCCTTAAATGTAGGAGAATCTGGAGAACATGAAAACAGTTCCGGGAACTTAAGAAAATGTGTAAAATCTTCATAGAAGATCGACGATCTTGGGAACTTGTGATAATTTTTTTTTGAACGAAAGAATTTATGACAATATGAATGAAGTTCTTTCTGATAAGTTCTGACTGATAAGTTTTGTCTGATAAGCAGTGTTGGTTAAAATCAAAATCAGAAAATCAAAATCAGCAATCTTTCAAGATCAATATCACCTAAAATCACAGGCTTCAATATCGCATGCCATCATCACCACGAAAATCACGCGTGATTTTCGACCAATATTAATATCATATCGATTCCCAAAACCAACCAGCATCCATATCAACCAAGATCAAAATCATCGAAAATCATAGGAATAGTAGATATGTTAAATTCTAAAGTTTGGTGAATTCCGGAATTCAAATCAACATGACTGATGAAATTAAAATTGTGGATTTCAAACTAAGATGGCTTCCACAAATCCAATATGGTGGCCCCCAGACAAGGAATATACATCTAAACCCATGCAATATGGGTATCTACGAAAATTGACATCCGCCGCCATTTTGGAATCTAATATGGCGGACCAAAATCCAATATGGCGGCCCCTGGACAGGTAATATGCATCTAAACCCATGCAATATGGGTATCTGCGGAATGGGCTCGATAAGTGGGAGCGCAAAATTTACATCCGCTGCCATTTTGGAATCCAAGATGGTGAACCAAAATCCAATATGGTGGCCCCTGGACTAAGAATATGCATCTAAACCCATGCAATATGCAATGGGCTCGATGAAGGGAAATAGAAAATTGACATCCACCGCCATTTTGGAATTCAAGATGGCGGTCCAAAATCCAATATGGTGGCCCCTGGACAGGGATAAGTGGAAGTGGAAAATTGACATCCGCTGCCATTTTGGAATCCAAGATGGTGGACCGAAATCAAATATGGCGGCCCCTGGACAGGGAATATGCATCTAAACCCATGCAATATGGGTATCTGTGGAATGGGCTCGATAAGTGGAAGTGGAAAATTGACATCCGCCGTCATTTTGGAATCCAAGATGGTGGATCAAAATCCAACATGGCGGCCCCCAGAACCAGAGAATATGCTTCTAAACCCATGCAATATGGGTATCTTCGATAAGCGGAAGTGGAAAATTGACATCCACCGCCATTTTGGAATCCAAGATGGTGAACCGAGATCCAATATAGCGGCCCCTGGACATGGAATATGCATCTAAACTCATACAATATGGGTATCTGCGAAATGGGCTCAATGAGGGGAAGTGGAAAATTAAAATCCGCCGCCATCATGAAATCCAAGATGGCTGACCAAAATCCAACATAGGAGCAGTTATTAGAGCTTCGTTGCGGTCCTAAGAAAACGAGAAAAACAACAGTGGTTCAGATAATTTTTGAGAATTTGAGGGCAGTTCCATTAAGTTCAGGAAAATAGCTAGAACATTCTAGATGCTCCGAATATTAAAGATAGCGCAGAGAGCATCAAGAAAATTTGGGGAACTTAATTAAAAATAGGAAACGTTACAGAGGCTCCAAAAAATCAAGGAAGTGCAGAAAATGCGTAGACCTTGCG